GTATTTATAATTCCTTTAATAACCTGATTAAATTATCATGATTCAATAGCAAAATACGTTAAATAAATTAAATAAATCTGAATTATTTACATAAATATATATATAATTCATAATTTCAGTGACATATTTTCAAAGTGCATTTGGAATTCTATAATCTATAGATAATATAAGGAAAGTTCATGATTACTGAAAAAAATTAAATTAATTCGTTTCTAATATAAGAAATATTATAAAATTTAACTTTTACATAATCGAAGTTGCACTATTATACAATACAATGTGTATATGCAATAATTTAATTATTTGATAAAAATCAACAAAATCAATATTAACCGATAGTTGTTAACAGCACAGAATATGTTAGAATTATTGAGTAAATTGATGAAATTGTCTGTATGAATTTTAAAACTTTCTTGTAATTTGTTTCTTTTGATAAATTCCTTCATAATCAAATTAAAATAAAATTAGTTTTTTTTATGTACAACGGATTTTTGAATAAACTTCTTTAATTAAATATTTTTTTGGATTATTTTGTACTTATTGATTGAACTTAAATAGAAATTCAATTCATTATATTTGGAGTTTCCCCGTCGGAAGTAAACTTCTACTTTTCGTTTAGAACTTTTCCTTGTATGCAAATTACTTATCATATGTTAGTTTACTGTAGTAATAGAACAGAGGATTAATTTTCAATTTACTTTAAGTTTTCATCAAGTGATAAACTTATTATTTTCGTTTGAAAATTGCAATATAAGTATTTTCTTGTAAAGATCATTTCCATATCTTAATTTATTAATTGGAATGTTTTGTTATTCATGAAAGGAATAAAATTGATGTAGCTGTAGTAATATATCCAATAAGATATAAATCTATTCAACGCAATGCCGATTTCATTCATTTATTATATAACTAAGTTGATATTCGCCGGAGAGGATTAATTTTCGATCTGCCGAGATTTTCCACAGATTCGAACGTTTTATCGGTTGAAACGATGACTTGGGTATGAATGCAAACAGATAGAATTGCCAAAATGTGTCCAGATGTTTGACAGCGCACGCGGCAGAACGAAAGTTAAAGATCCCTCTGCCTTAAGAAGAAAGGTGAACGGACCTACGAGTAGTTGCAATCGCTC